TCTCAAATTTGACTGACAAGAAGTTCATGTATGAGAACAGAAAATTAAGTTATTCTACATCTATCTTTTAGAATCAAATTATCTGCTTAATAATTTGAATACTGCCAGGGCAAAGTGGCCCTAGATCTCTGCTGTGTCAGTGCTCCTCCCTCATTTCCATACATGGGCAGAAAGAAAGGTATTGTTTTTCCTCTATGCTCTGACATGGTAGCAGCCTGCCATCAACACAGATGGAATCCTTCTTGGACTGCGGAGTCTCTGGGCTTGAGGTCTCCTAACAGTCTAATTATCCCAAAACTTCTTATCTGGTCTTTCTTCCGTGCCTTTGGATCCTTTCCTTCCCTATCCCTCTCTCCCAAATAAAAAATCAGCCTTACTTTACTTTGATTTTAAAACTACCAGTCATGTAAGATGCTTTGATGTGAAGAAAGGGCTCAAATAAAACCATTCAAACCATGGCAGTTGATCTTACTCCAAAAAAAAAAGACTTTTAAAAGTCACTCTGCAGAGCCATAGAGAACTGGCTGCCAGGTTTGCACCAAGCGATAATCACTGGTTCTATTGAAATACAAAAAAGGAAGTCTTTTCATGTAAAATGCTTAGATGTAAATATTTTAAGTGTTTTATTTTTTTGTGAACCCAGTAAGACTGGTTTATAAGTCTGGATCATTTGGTGTTACTCCTCTTTTAATTAGTAGTATACCCAGTTATTTTAGCAGGAAATCAATATTTATAATAATACCTTACATTTCACTTAACAGAGTAAATCTTATTATCCTCATTTTGTAAATAACAATTTCCCATGTAAAGGGTTAAAGGTCACTCAACTCACTTTACAAATGGGAAAGCCCAAAGGCATTAACTCACCAACTGCAAAATCAAATGAGAAAGACAAATGTCCAGTTGTACAGGTATATGTAATTTATTATTCATGCCCAAGACCAGTGTCCCAATATGGGTTGGTCAGCAGTCAGGATGTTTAGACTGGCTTACCAGGCTGAATTTTTGTTTTATTGACATTTATTCAGTGATAATACCTAATTCTTTATATATCCCTTATTCACTCTGGTAGAGTTTGCCGTGGCAAGGAGCCTCGGTTTTACATCTGTACTTCTCAAACTATCTGTGAGGCAGGATCAGTTTCCCCCAATCAGTCTTGAGTTAAATAAAATAGAAATAAGTTACTGAAAAAAATCATAGCTTTAGATGTTGCAGCAGTATCAAATTGTCCTAAAGGATTTCAAATGGTTAATCTCCATTATTTGCAGGCTGGTTTACAAAAGGGGGTATAGGGTGATTCAGGGGGGGCACTGGTCCTTTCTGAATAGCATATGACCACGCGTGGAAATTCTGGCCTTACCTGAGAAGTCCTAAGCCACTGTTGGAGCACCACTGCACCAGACCATGCTTATTTCTGTCACAAACAGAAAAAAGAACCAGGGCTTCCCTCCTTTCTCTTTGATGATTTCTAGCTCCCGTCAACCCATTTATCCAAGGATAGCGCTAAAACTGGTAGCCACGCCTGGCATAGCTCTTACAGACCCATTATGCTGCTAAGAAACTCAGCTTTGCTTCTTGCTGCAATTTCACCTCTTAGGAACATGATAGCATTAGATCATCTTGGTCAAGTATGAACTATACTTTCTTTGGGAAGAACTTCAGCGGCATGTCATCTAGCCTGTATTCAGGCCAGTGCCCTCTCAGGGGGGACTCCCGTTGGAGTGTCTAATGTAGATATTCGTCCTGTTCCCACACACATTTGTTTACAATGGTGTCGGGTGGGCCTTTGTGTCAGTATAAATTGCTTGCTTCTCTTACCTCTGTAAACGAAGCATCTCTTTTATTACTCAGGCTACCAACAAAGTTCTGAGTCTTGCTTACCTGGACTTCTGCCACCAGAAGTAAGTAGTTTAGCAGAGGCAGCTCCTCTGGACTAGAATAGACAGTGAAAGGCAGCAGTCTCAGCAATAGCAGCAGGCATCCTGGCAGGCCAGGAGAACAGAGACCATATGGGACTGCTAGGCGTGCTGGGTGAGAGAGAAGGAGGGGGACGGACAGGAGATGCCTCAGGTGGGTTTGATCAGTTGCTATGGTTTCTAAGGCCAGTGTTAATACCAGCGGCTGGCAGCTGTGTCAGTACGTTATCAGCATGCAGAGTTGGGTGCAGGCTTCCTGGGAAGACCTTGAGGAAGAAATGACTGTAGGCTGCTCACGGTTGGTTTCAGCCTAAGAAACAACCCACCGTGAAAGGCTCAGATAAAAGAACAATCAAGGGAGTGGATGTGATGGGAAGGGGAAAACAGAGTAGAAGAGGGTGTTGCTGTGCTCTGGAGACCAGCGCTGTTCAGGGGAAGCTCTCTGCCTTCTCATCGCATACTGAGTGTGCTCCTCTGGGAAGTGGCGTCATTGTACTCAGTCACTGTGCTCAGGGAACTGGGAGTCCGAATTTCTGGGTGCAAGTCCTGGACCCCAAGTTAGCATCTTGGCAACCTTAACACGCCTTCTCACCTTTCTTCGCCCCTGGTTTCTCATCCGTTAAACATTCACTAAGCTCTGGAAGCTGTCAGGAGGTTCAAATGAGATAATCTATACAAAAGTCACAATTTAAAATTTCTACAACACCAACCCTCTTCCTTCCTTACCATTTTCCCTTGCCCCCAAGAAGACCAGTCTAAGGCAGACCAATTTCTATGAATGACACTTTAAAAAAGAATGTCTAATTCAGGACTCCCCAATCATCCAGATCAACATGTACCCACATTATTATATTGACTATTCTGAGCATATAGCTGCATGAAAACATTTTATCTGAAGGCTGGCTTTATCTACAGTAGGGGTGTCGAACTCAATCAGAGAAGGGGCCAAAATCTAAAATCCAGCCTAAATTGCGGGCCGAATGGTTTACTGAACAGTCATAAATTGTCATTGTGATGGAAACGCAGCGGAGTGCAGTGATGACAGTGCGGTGCGGGCCACATTGAAAGGCCTGGCGGGACGGATTTGACCCGCGGGCCTTGTGTTTGACACACGTGATCTACAGGATGACCAAGGGACATCTGTGTTTGAAAATTCATAAGAATGGACACCCAGGGGCACATACCTACACATACACTGTATGTAAAATAATAGAATGCTAGGAGTCAGCCTTATAAGGAATAGCCTATAGTTATCAAAGCATCCTTTTTAAGTAACTTAAGTAGATGACAAATTTCTCCTTATAATCAAACTGGTTATCATGGTTCAAACCATATGATTGTGGTCCAGAGAGAATTTTATATCGCAAGGCTGAGTAGAACTACCAATGAAAGGAAATAACTTTCTATTGTAAAAGCAATACAATTCCCTTTATCCTGCTTCCCTTAATCTAATATCTAACATGAGCATAGTAAAGTTGTTGAAACCAAGAACTTAAGATTGATACCATACTATTAACTAATCTAGAGACCCTATTCAAATTTTCTCATTTTCCCACTAATGTACTTTTTCTGGTCTCGGATTTCACATTGTGTTTCTTTCTTTGTCTTTAAAAAAAAAAAAAAAAAGTCTTTCCTAACTTTACCCTTGGAAGAATACTACCCACTGTTGCGTAGAGTGCTCTTTAATTTTGGTTTATCTGGTGTTTTCTCATGATTCAATTGAGGTTATAAATTTTTGACAAGAAAACCACAAAAGAAATGACGTGTCCTTCTCAGTGGATAGAGCGGAAGGTATATGATGACATGCATCACGGGTAATTTTAGCTTTGGTCACTTAGTTAAGGTGGTGTCTGTTAGGTTTCTCCATCATAAACTTGGGGTTTTTCTCTTTGTAATTAGTAAGTATCTTTTTTGTTGTTGCTTTCTCAATTAATGGCTAAGGTTGGAGCAAGTGTCATTCAGAAAAGGTTGCAGAGCGTCCCATCCTGGTGGAAAGAAGCTGTGCCCTAGAAAACGATGGAGTCATTATTTAAGTGTTTGAATAGATTTCTCTCAATCCATGCTGAAGCGGATTGCCTGACATTACATTGCAGGATTTTTAAGTTCTACCTCCAGGCAAATCTCATAGTTACTAGCAAAAATGAAAGTGTGAAATGCTTTTTAATGTATATTTAACAACACATAGTCTGGTGATTACTGATGTGTATTCTCCGTGGACTCCCTTTGCTATCAGAGGAGGATGTTAAGAGACAACATTTTTACACATTTTTTCTATCTAAATCCATCACAGGTTTACTTTCCAAATATCTGTAACTGTCATTTATATTTAATAACAAGAGCATAAAAATCAAATACTTTAATTTTAACTCAAACTTTGAATCATAGGATTGCAACCAATTTTCTGGATAAGTACAGTTACTGTTTTTTTCTTCTAACTCTACTTATGAAATTGCCCACTATTAAATGGCACTAGAATGCAGCCATTAAAAAAAAGAAAAATATATATGGCTTAGTAATGGGGGGGGAGGAGTAATGTAACTTTATTCATCTTTTTTATTTAGAAATTCACATAATAGCTCCTATTTAAAGGAATTTTCACCGTTGAATCCAGTGTCATGTCTGCGTGTGTTGAAGAAATAAAATTCACAAAATGTATTTAATTTCTTCCTACAGTGTCATTATTTAATAAGGATTAAGGTACCATGTTTTGTCTTTTTTGCTTTTTTACTGGGTTGCATAGCAAGAGTTCATGTCTTGTACTAATGTATGCTAAATATTTTCATAGTATAGAGACCATTATTGTTAAAAATAGCCGTAGTGAAGGCGTTTAGACCACAGAGCCCCAGTGGCATACATTTTGTTTGTTTTGACATTGTTAAACCCAGTCTGTTTATCTAACTGTAACTCTAATGCATGGCAGAAAAGTTTGCTTGGTGGGTCGACTTTTATTAACAATGTCTGCATGTTGTTTTCTGCTCTCGGTGTTCCATGAGCAGACAGAGCACCTTCAGTTCCATTGAATTGTTATACACAATCAATAAGCCTCTGTGTTTGTCTTTGTTGTTTCTTTGATGTGGCCTCTAGGATGCTGCCGGCAAGGTGCTGGACCGCTGGGCCATCATGTCTCGAGAAGAGGAAATCATCACCCTTCAGCAGTTTCTGCGGTTTGGAGAAACCAAATCCATCGTAGAGCTGATGGCAATTCAGGAGAAAGAAGGGCAGGCCGTGGCTGTCCCGTCTTCAAAGACAGACTCAGACATTAGGACTTTCATTGAGAGCAATAATCGCACCAGGAGTCCCAGCCTCCTTTCTCACCTAGAAAACAGCAACCCTTCCAGCATCCATCACTTCGAAAACATCCCCAACAGCCTTGCGTTTCTGCTTCCATTCCAGTACATAAACCCAGTCTCGGCCCCGCTGCTAGGATTGCCTCCAAACGGGCTCCTGTTAGAGCAACCAGGACTGAGGCTGCGGGAACCCAGCCTGTCAACCCAGAATGAGTATAACGAGAGCAGCGAGTCTGAAGTATCCCCCACACCTTACAAGAACGATCAGACTCCCAATAGGAACGCCTTGACCAGCATCACTAACGTGGAGCCCAAAACCGAGCCAACCTGCGTGTCCCCCATTCAGAATTCCGCCCCGGTCAGTGACTTGACCAAAACTGAACACCCGAAAAGCTCATTCCGGATCCACCGGATGAGAAGGATGGGGTCAGCCTCCAGGAAAGGAAGAGTGTTCTGTAACGCGTGTGGGAAGACGTTCTATGATAAAGGTACTCTCAAAATCCATTACAACGCTGTCCACCTGAAGATCAAACACCGGTGCACCATCGAAGGCTGCAACATGGTCTTCAGCTCCCTCCGAAGCCGCAATCGTCACAGTGCAAACCCTAACCCTCGCCTCCACATGCCTATGCTAAGAAATAACCGAGACAAAGACTTAATCCGGGCCACCTCGGGAGCTGCCACCCCCGTCATAGCGAGTACGAAGTCAAATCTCACACTCACCAGCCCCGGCCGGCCCCCGATGGGTTTTACCACTCCCCCACTCGACCCCGTCTTACAGAACCCTCTCCCCAGCCAGCTGGTGTTTTCCGGGCTAAAGACTGTCCAGCCAGTCCCTCCATTTTATAGAAGTTTACTCACTCCAGGAGAAATGGTGAGTCCTCCCACCTCCCTCCCGACCAGTCCCCTCATCCCAACCAGCGGTGCCCTGGAGCCGCACCCCGTGCCACCCTCTGAGCCAGCAGCTCCGGTCGTGATGATGGCCACGCACGAGCCCGGTGCCGACCTGCCCCCCAAGAAGAAGCCCAGGAAGTCCAGCATGCCCGTGAAGATCGAGAAGGAGATCATCGACACCGCCGATGAGTTTGATGACGAAGACGATGACCCCAATGACCCCGGAGCCGTGGTCAATGACGTGAGCCATGACAATCATTGCCACTCCCAAGAGGAGATGAGCCCAGGCATGTCTGTGCAGGACTTTTCGAAGCACAGCAGGTCCCGGTGCATTTCAAGGACTGAAATCAGAAGGGCTGACAGCATGACTTCGGAGGATCAGGAGCCTGAGCGGGACTATGAGAACGAGTCCGAGTCCTCCGAGCCCAAACTGGGCGAGGAGTCCATGGAAGGGGATGAGCACATGCACAGCGAGGTAAGCGAGAAGGTCCTGATGAGCAGCGAGAGGCCCGACGAGAACCACAGCGAGCCCTCCCACCAGGACCTCATCAAGGTGAAGGAAGAGTTTGCAGACCCCACTTACGACATGTTCTACATGAGCCAGTACGGACTATACAATGGTGGGGGAGCCGGCATGGCGGCCCTGCACGAGAGTTTTGCCTCCTCTCTGAATTACGGCAGCCCCCAGAAGTTCTCCCCGGAAGGCGACCTGTGTTCCAGCCCAGACCCCAAAATCTGTTACGTGTGCAAGAAGAGCTTCAAAAGCTCCTACAGCGTGAAGCTCCACTATAGGAACGTTCACTTGAAAGAGATGCACGTCTGCACGGTGGCTGGCTGCAACGCTGCCTTCCCCTCTCGCCGGAGCAGAGACAGGTCAGTAAATCTCCATTGGCTGCTCCTGCTGTGGGGAGGGGGGGCGGGGGCTGTCATTAAAAAAATCCAACTTAGATGTTTTGATGCACTGAGATTGTCCACAGTGACCACACGATAACCAAGCTGCCATGCTCATGAAGGATTGTTGCAGTTGGTGCTTGTTATGATTAAGCATGCAGAATCATGTGCCATCTTACCCAGTAATGCACGCCATTTTTCTCTGTGCTCTGTGTATGTGTGTATGTTTTTCCATGCATCTAGGTGTGTGAATATGTTAACCGTGTCCACAGTTCCCTGCTTCCCCATGAACCTTTCACATAGAAGCCTCAGCTTCTGTTATAAATATTTCTGCTTTGCCTTGTGGCTTTAAAAAAAAAATTTAAATCAATATATTATCTTCATACACACATATTTATCCAATATAGAAACAGAAATTTACGGATGGAAAGAACCATAGGTCCAGGACATCGAGACAGCCTGCATCTCCGTAGGTATAACCAGAAATGTTATCATTCTTACATGAGTATTTAGTGTGTCCTTGAATTCTTTGAGTTCACAAAAGTATCAGAAGAAAATGGGATCAAAGTAATTGTTCATATGGGGAAATGGTGTGGTGATGTGGGGTTTCTTGATGTTAGCTTCCCAATGCCTTTGACCACATCTCAAAAACACAGTCCGTCATGGGAATGATGCACACAGAAGGGGAGGCGTGCATATACTTTTAGGAGCAGTTAGAATACATTATGTCCAGCCTTCAGATGACATCACACCTTAGCTATGTAGCTGCAGCTCTGAAACAGTTGGGCTTAAACAGAAGCAGCTGGTCCTAAACCTACAATGTTCTTTTTCAGCCCTAAAGAAAATGTAATATAAATGGAATGTGTCAAGGTGGTCAGTGGTGGGGAACCGCAGTTACCCTGCCCTGGGGGAGATAAGCTTGTGAGCAGATCATTTACATAACACACCAGCCCAACCAGAGACACACCAGTTCATTCTCCCTATTCTATTGGATGTGGGTTTTTTGGTTTTACATTGTCTTTTCAAAATATTTTTAGAGAAAATTTTATTACATGCTCAAAGTCAATAGAGGTGGAAGAAACAAAATGAACTAGGAAGTTTGCAAGTAGCCACCACCCAAATGCTAGTGCTTATCGATTAGGTAGGATTCTCTGACAGTGTAACATATAATGCAAGTACCACTGGAAAGTAGTGACATGCTTTTGGAATACTCTGTTTTGTCTTCATATTTTAAAGATTAGTCTTTTTTAAAAATAAGAGTTAAAAAAGTTTTATTGTACTGAAGTACAGCTCAAGGGGTCCAATTCATGAAAAGCAAAATTTCCGAGAAAATGTGGCTTTCTTTCTACAACTCAAAACATGCTTTGCAGAGAAATCTATCTTCTTAAAGCTTTCCCCTCCCTAGTCCCCTAGCCTCCACTCCTTTTTACCTTGTTCTGTAAAAAAAAAAAAAAATGGTTTATGATCAAAAAGTTCTTTTCAGTTCCAGGGTATTGTGGACAGTCCCAGAATATGGTAGATAAGATAGCTACAGTACTTTAAATAATAAAATATAATAGTGTACCCAACTGCTTCCTCCCCAAGTTTGTAAGTAATGTTCATTCTTTTAAATTTGAAATAGAGCACTAGTGATAATGAGGTTAATGCATTGGATTCTTTTTTTTTTTTAAACAAAAAATAAAAGACTCGTGAAAACCTGCATAAAATATTTATGGAAATGGAGTGTTTGAAGACAAGCCAAAATTTAAGCCTATTTGCATGAATTCCTATCACTGTTTCAGTTGGCTTGCTGAAAATATTGCAAGTCATAACACTGGAATAAAATGACTCTGGGTCCAAAAGGCTACAACACCCAAAATGTAGTGCTTTCCTTTATGTTACTGTTTTTTATGTCCTGATGTAAGAGGAGGTACTGTTGAAAAGGTGGTTTGTCTGAGGAAAAAGCATTTATTGATAGGGGAATGTTTCAATCTCCATTTTTATTCTAAGGATTGGGAGCTTGCCAAGTGACTAGCCTTATGGAAACACTAGAGGCCCGGTGTATGAAATTCTTGCAGTTGTGGGGGAGGGGGATCCCTCAGCCTGGCCTGCACCCTCTTGTAGTCCATGAGCCCTTGGGGGATGTCCCACTGCCAGGGTTTAGGCCTGCCCTCCTCCCCGCTTCCCCCGGGGATTGGGCCTAAACCAGCAGTCGGACATCCTTAGTGCTCCCACAAGGGCAGGAAAGGATCCAACCACCACCACTGTACTCACCAGCCATGAGCCCAGCTTCTGGCCGAGCAGTGCACCCCCTGTGGAAGTGCACTGAACACCAGGGGGGCAGCTCCTGCATTGGGCTTCTGCCCACTCATGGTCAATGCGTGTCATAGCCACCTTTCATTCTGCCTTTTGGTAGATTTGCATATTAGCCTTTTGTTATATAGGATAGGCCAGTGTCTAGGATAACTAGCAGATTGTAGGTGGGAAAACAGTACTGATATTCTCCCAGGTGTGTTGAGTCATACAGGAGATGGCAAGCCTTACAAGACTGAGATACATTTCATTTGGCTGAAATACCCCATCACACCTAATCTTTTAAATTCTGGATATTGATCCATGAAGAAAATTGAAAAAATAAATACTGTGCAAAGAAAGTAGTTTGATTCTCACTTGAAATTTTGCTTTTCAAGAATATTCAAGTATTGTAATCCCTGATTAAAAGCTTTAAAAAATTTTAGTACTTTAATTTTGACGTTTTTGTTTTTGTTTTGTTTTTTGTTTTTGCTAAGAAGAAATGTGTTTATTCCTCTTGAGTCTATGACTTGAAATAATATTCAATGCAAATATATTTACTACCAAATATCCACAAATAGCGACGTCTTTTGGAAATCAGCCTCCTCCTGCATCTCAGCAGATGACTCAAACATAATTGTGTCCCCATTTCATTCAGCCTTTTATCACCATTTTGTCAGCTAATATTGACCTGTAATTTAATCTTATTCACAGATCCTCTTGAATCACAACTCTGATCTACCCGCTTAGACTCACCTTCCCCTTCTCTTCACTTTTCCCGAGTTAGTCACGAGAACCCCAGGAATTTTGTGTCCCTGCTTTTTCCTCTGCAATGAAGCCAAGACAAGTTTTCTTTTCTTTTCTTTGAGCCAAGACCTTCCCAAACAGAAACCATCCTTTGCCTTTAATCCTGCTGTCCTCGGGCCCATTTCTTTCCTCTCCCTAGAGTCTCGATTCATCCACCCTTGACTGCACAATGTCTTCCTTGTGCAAATAAAGCGTTAGAGGGGATTTGGACTGGGGGCCGAAGTACGCAAGGCTACAGGGCTTCTAGGACACCTGTGATAAAACGAACAGAATAGCCCCTTCCCTTCTGTTCATGAAAGCAGCCTTCTTGTCTTTGGGCTCAGAACACCTTGTAGGAGCAGCATACACGCCTTCTTGGGCTTCTTCCAAGAAGGTTATACACGAGGGAGGTGTATTTTTGTCTCTAGATAAGCATGTTAGTAAGATGAAAGTAAAAAGATGTTAAATACTGTGTTTTAGATTTGGCAGCGAGTTAGCAGAGATTTCCAAATCTTTGCTTATGGTCTTTCTGGATTTTATATGATCAAGTTGAAGGCTTTTTGATAAGCAAGAATGTTCATTGTCTAAAGTCAGGAAAAAAGGAAGGAGAGTGGTTCACACAGGTTAGCAATGGCTGAGGATTCTAAGCCTCCTTCTTGACACTGTTGTGGATGAGTGTGAGTTTGCAAAATTCCAAAAGCAGAGAGCACCACCATTCCACACTAATGACAAAGAGCAAGTTAGTAAACACAAAAGCCCATCTATTCTATTGGTAGGTGGCTGTTAGAATAATATAAATTATTTTCTCTAAAGAACTATGATACCATAAGATGACATTATTATGTAGTGTTAGTCCTGAAAGACTCTAAACTCCCTTCTTTCCTTCTTGTTTACCTCGTGATCTTTCTGCTACTAAGGTGCTGTCCTGTCAGGGAACAGGAGGTTGGCCCCCAGTTTGGAAGAACGCACATGAAATACTCCCTGAGAAGAAGTAATGATAACTAACTGTCCTAGAACCTACAGTCCCCATAAGAGAAAATTTCTAGAGGATATTTTCATAGAGTTAGCTGGGCCTGGTTTGCCTTTGGTCACATTCTCATCCTGTCTTGGATTTTGACCCCTGGGAGGGCTGAGTGGCCATGGATCACCCATATTTAAGAGAAGCCCATTTACAAATGCCAAATGATTTTTATTCAGAAAATACATAAACACCCTCTGTCCTCTTCTTCCCCAAAATTTCTTATCACTTGCTAATATGTTAAAATCTGTGAACATCTGCTTGAGTGATTGGCAATTTTAAAACTTCCTCATCTGAAAGGAAGACTTTCTCTACAGGTGATTTGCATAGTAAGATGTATACATCTCTTTGTTTTTCATAGGAAGAGGACTTTTATCGTCTTTATCCTTTCTTTCTCTGAGAATAGTGGCCACTGATTGCCAAAGTTTGTCTTATATTTTATCAGAAAGGTGAAATGTACATGTTTGATCTTCAAGGTGTAGGAAAGGTGATTTTGCTCCATGAATAAATTTAAAAACAAAATAATATTTGATTTGGGTGATTTATAAATAAATATGAGCAGCCATTGGTACCAAGTGCAAACCTTCCCTTTGATTGCTAGTTGAATCCATCCAGATTTAAACATGTAAACTTCTTGATTTATATGGAGTAGGACATCTGTATTTGGTTTATTAAAATGTGCTGATGTCTCCAGAACTAAATTTGTTCATGTGCAGGCCTCTGGGTAGCTGTAGCTAAAAAGCAGAGATGTATAGTTTTTGCTTGCCTTATTACCTGACTTCCAGCCCTGTACAGGTGTGCAGGAATAAATTAACATGAGCTACCTCTGAAGAGCCACTGCATAGATTAACAACAGAGGTGAAGATGCGAAAACATGCTACCTGCCTCCTGTTATCACCTTCTCAGCAGCAGCATCCATTTTTCCCCATCATTCCCCCAGCTTGGAAACTTATAGAGAACTTTTCTAAGGAGAGATTTTCAATAAATACTCTTGATTCTACTAGGTAATACCTCCCAGAAATGAGCCACTTAGCACCAATTCAAGATAACTATTAGTATATTTGCCCTAATATAATTAGCTGTCAACTACAGTATGAAATCCTCTCCAAATGCAAAAGGAGAGCATTTTAAGGTATCAGCCATTTATTTCATTTCCTATACATTTGCCAATCAAACTGCAATTCTCCTTTTCCAAAGTTCTTTCATGAAGCGAAGTGGTGCAGCTCCTCTGACTTCTAAATGTTAAGGAAGCGATTTTTCCCCGTGTTACTCTATTTGGTTTCACAGTAGAGCCAACGGATCAATAAGTCTTTTGTACTTATTTCCATTACCTTCCATCAAAGGCAAACAAACAAAATAAATCCCCCTCTGAGTAATTGCTGTTTGTGCCCTCCTCAA